TAGATAAAAAGTTATAACCATTTAAAAAATTGAAACACTTCGTGTAACTGTTGAGTATAGATTTCCTGCACCATATTTTGATTGGCTTTTCTATTTAGTTTGTGTAACTACGTGTTTAAACACCCCGTGTACAAATAGTAATTGTCAAAAAAAAATAGACAATTTCTATTTATACTATACACCTGTGTTTAAAACACGGGTATATTAATAACTCTAAATTGTCTATGAAACCACTTTTCAAGTTCTAACAAAAAAAATCTATATAAATTTTAGTATAAACTACTCCTAACCCTAATCTATAACCTAACCTAGTTTAATATTAATACGTTTTAATTTTTTTCTTTAAATTTTGTATTAAATTTTTTTTATAATTTATAAAATTTTAAAAATGAATAATATTTTAAAATTTTATTTATAAAACAATTATTAAAGCTCTAAGAAAAAAAATTTCTAAAATTTTAGTATAAATTATGCTTCTTTTAATTCTAGTTACTAATCCTAACTTTAATACTAATTAAATTAAATTTTATTTTAATACAAATTATTTTAACTTATACCCATTCCCGTGTATGATTATTAGTTTTTTTTAAAGGACAAATGATCTACGTACACCCTATACCCTTAATCAACTTGGAACACTATTATGGCTTAGATCACTGTTTTTTGCTGCGGCTAGTTCACATTACCCCTTCACAATCTACATATTAACATTTACCTATTACAGTATTAGCGTTAGAATGTGTAATTACCCCTTCACAATGTACATATTAACATTTACCTATTACAGTATTAACGTTAGAATGTGTAATAACAATCTATATACATTAAATAAATGATTATGATTTTAAGCTATGCATTTAAAACTTTATTGAAATTATACTAAATATATATATATATTGATTAGGCTGTCCAGAATTATGCAATTATAGGACTTTTTAAAGACCTAAGGACCCTATGTCCTTAAATTTGGACTTAGTCTTTAAAGACCAGGTTTAAAGACCAGGCCCTAAAGTCCCGGACCTAAGGACTTTTACCAACCCTATCCTATATGCACTTTCTAAATGTAGATAATAAAAATAAGACGATTTCAGAGTGCGTCATAATTTATACAAGATTAAAACAAGAATAAAAATATCAAACCTTCTGAAAAGGCTCTGGATCTTCATCATCAGAATCTATGTATTTTCTGCTTTTACGTTTTTTAGATTCTTCTCCCCAAACCTCACTCTGTTTTTCGGTGTATTCACGTAATTGTTGATCAATTCTTTTTTGATTCTCTATAGCTTTTTCCAAATCTTCTCTTTTTTTACGTTCTTCTTCCATCTTCAAAAAATAATGTTATAAATATTACGACAAAAAACTCTTTAAATACAAAAATAAATAAATCAATTTATTTACTGCAATCTTATCTTGTTCTCGTCTTTGTCTTTCTGCACGCTCTTGCGCTTCCTCTTCTTTCTTCCTTCTAATTTCTTCTTGTCTCAATGCCTCTTCAAGTTTCGTTTTAAGCGAACTCACAGTAGAATGTCCAAAATTAATACGCTGATTTAAAACCTCCTTATCAAAAGTAACGTGTGGCGACCCATCATTAACTAGATGTTCAAAAGTACTAATAATATAAAATAAAATAAAGCCAATTTAATATTAAATTTATGACGAAAAATAAAAATAAAAATAAACAGGATAATAACCGATGTGCACATTCAACATCTGCAATGGCGCTCATCAATTCTGTTGAAGATCGCACTACTCCTGGTTCACCAATTAATTGTGCTCTGCTTTGTTGTATAAGCGCGACATTATGTACAATAAGTTTATTTGTCGGTGCAAGTCTTAGGGCCTATATGTTTTAAAATTTTATAATATACGCGATTAGTTTCACAAACTGTCTTATACAGGAATATGACAATGAATGATTTAGTGATTACCTTCTCGGTCCAAATTAAGGCTTCGTCCATTTTATTTAAATTCTTTGTCTCTTTGGCCAAAAGATAACAAGAACGACCAATCCATTCTAACACAGACACATCTTTATGTTGTGACTTTTTGGAAACTCCTTCGTACTATAAAATCGACTATTTTCATCAATTTTCTTAAACCATCTATCTTATAATAGACAAAAGTAATAAATATCCAAAATTACCGAAAGAATAGCAGTCTCATGCTCGTTCATTTGACTGCAAACGTGAGCGTAATTAATAGTAATTTCGGGTACAGGATTATGTTCTTTTAACTAAAAATGGAACAAACACGTATCAGACATTTGTTTTTGTGTACGTCACAAATAAAATACCGTAAATTGCCGCGTAAATCACCCTTTATAGAAGACCCCAATTTTCATGTAGGTTAAAAGTAACAGATCCGGAGTGGCTTATGCGGCAACTTACGGTAATTTTGAAAGATATTTATTTACCCTCCAGAATTGTTCTTTTGCTTCTTTAAATCTACCCGACTCCGCAATAGCAACTGTTATTCCATTAGCCGCCCATACATTTTTCGGATTTTTTTGCAGGGCTTTCTGAAAATATTCAACGGCCCTTTTATATGATAGTTCACGCGCCTCTTTATCTTGCCTACGTGATCTCGCTTTGAAAAGAAAAAGGCTACCTAACGCAGTTGAGGCAACTATATCATGTTTATTCTCTGAATGAATCATCTCAAGGCTTCTACGAGATTCATGGATTTCACCCTGTCTTAGTTGATTTACTGCCAATCTTTTGCGAACCTCAACGTTATTCTCGTCAAACTCCAAGACCTCATGATAAATATCATTGGCTTTTGCATTGTTACCATGGAATTCTTCAATTGCAGCTAGACGTAAACGAGCTTGAAAAATACCAAACGTATAAATATATGAAATATATTAAAGTTGAAGGAAAAAAAAAGTGATGCAATTATACCTGGGATGAATGCAGGATGCTCATTAATAATTTGATTATATAAATCCTGGGCCTCCTTAAAATTATGTGAGGCCTCATAAGAACGTGCCAAATTATAAAAAAGAGTTATTCTAACATCCGATTGCGGAGAAGGAAGCTGCTCGCATTTTTTCAAGGCTTCTCTATAACATTCAGACGCGTCCGCATATTTACCTGAAAAATGAAATGATATCAAATTTTAAAAGCGCGATTAGTCAGCTTCGATAAAAATTTCAAAATAAATGGGGTCTTTGCCTTGAAAATTACAAAAACAAAGCCGTGTATTAGTTCATGTTTATATGTAAACCCCCTTTTGTCTCCATGGTTCAATAGTTTATAGAATAAAGTTTCGAATCAATAAAGTCAAATATAAACGTGAACTAATATACGGATTATTTTTGTCCGAATTAACCCGATCAGAAATGTCGGAGGGTGATTTCCAAGGCAAAGACTCCAAATATAGAATCTACTCACCCTGTTTAAAATGCAGGTTGCCTTTTTTATTAAACAGTTCAAGCGGGATTGGTTCATTGGCTTTAATATACATAGATTCAGCCAACTTCAATGCTTATATAATATAAATAAAAATTAAATACACTATAATACTTAAAAATATATTAACACATTTTCAATATTAGTATACTAACCTTGAAGACTTTTATAAGCATTTTTGCCTTCAATTGCATGTGCTTTGACTATAAATATTTCTGGATTATCGTATGAGCCTTCATTAATAGCTTGCGTTATTTTATTAAATTCTTCAAAAGCGCTCGCTTTTTTCGATGAATCAGTTTCTTCGAGGGCAGTATTTGCAGCCAAAATCGCTAAGATCTAAAAATTTTATATTAATAAATAATTATAAAAAAAAATAAAATAAAATAAAAAATCGATCACAATCAATTCAACATACTGTTACAACATCAAGAAAATTTGGATTTTGACGCCTCAATGTCTCAAATATGATTTTGGCTTCCTCATAACGGCCTGTTACAATATATATATATATATATCAGCATACCAAGTAATTATGATGTAAACTAATGATGTACTGAAAATGAAGATCGTAAAGTTACCGAATTTTATTAGCATCTGACCATAGCCATAAATTGCAAGCAAATGATTTTCATTGTAATTAATAGCTTGAGTATAATGGTAAAGGGCTTTTTTATAGTCCTCCTAGAAAAATAAAGAAAAATGAGATGTTTAATGTTGTTTCGTGAAAAAAAATCAAATAAGATAAAATCAGCAAGTATTTAAATACCATAACATGATAAGCTCTAGCTTGATGAAAATGCGCTTCAGCTAGTATAGGTTTCGAATCAGTATTTTCCTCGGCACGTCTTGCGGCTGTGATGAGCTAATCACGTGAAAGATATTAGTTTTAAAAATTAAAACTTATCATTATAGTAAACGATATATACATTTTTGAAATCTCTCTGAAAGAAAAAACCGTGTGCCAGTAAAATCAATGCACTGGAATGGGTAGGAGTCATCTCAATGACTTTATTTGCTCGATTCATTGCAGAAACAAAATTAGTTAATCGATCATGTGCGTCAACTTCTTCGTATTGTTTAGAGATATCAAGCTCAAGGGTAGCGAGAAGGATACTCGCAGATATATTAGTTGGATTCTGAATTAGAAAAATAAATAAGAATTATGAAAGATCAAATCTAGTAATGTAAATAAATAAATAAATCTAAGTCATTTTACCAATTCAAGAGCTCTGTCAAATGCCGCGATAGCTTCATCAAAATTTTGTAATTTATTAAAACAGAGGCCAATACCAACACGCGGATCAGGTTCTGTGAGATCAGGTTTTAATCGTAAAATTTCTTGATAAAGTTTAAGAGCCTCTTTATATTCTTGACGAAGATACTTAATGCGAGCCTAATAAATATAACAGTTAATAAGAAATTGAAAAATTAAATGAATAACGAAAAATATTTAAATACCATGCCAAACAATGCAGGAATGTTATGACTTGAAAGATTATATGCATTTTTAAATGCAGTATAAGCAGCATCTGGATCGTTTCGACCAAGGAATATAAAACCTTGTATACAATTTTTTTTATAAATATTAATTATAATTATTATTTCATGAAAGCAATCAAAAAGCTTTCAAATAAAGTACCTTTCACGACCCAAGTTATTGGATTTTGAGCACTGACGGAGGAAACAGTATTTAATTGCCTAATCGCTTCATTTAACAAATCTTGTTTTGGTTGTTTGCCTTTTGTATTTTTTGCCATTTTATAATATAAGCTAACTAATAGATTATTTAATCTGATCTTTTCGTCGTTAGAACCGCGCGCTATCGTATGTTGAAATCCGAATAAAAATTAGTGACGTCAATGTCTAAGATCGACAAACAAGAGTGAAGGCATACGTAGGGAAAGCCCTTTCTTAAGAATTGCAATAGCCATATTAGGAGCCATTCTATTAATATTGAAATATAGCTGTGCACAAAAAAAAAAAAATGGTTAGAAATATAATAAGCTAAACGAAAGGGACGCGCCTTTTATGTCAAACACATAAACTAACCGCCAAACGTAAGTAAGCCGTCATTTGGGCATTATCTTCTTTCAACATATTACAAACTTCTTCAGAATTATCTGGCAAGCTATCGCAATCGATAATGCGTTCTTGTCCAGATCTCGACATAATGGGAATCTGAGTAGGTAGTTTTTGATCTGGCATTATGATGTTTAACTTGAGGTTCAAAGAGTGAAAAGTGAAAAAGTGAAAATACTGTAGAAATAAGTAAACGTTATTAAGTTTATAGTTTTTTTGGAGTGAGATATCTACTTCAGTACTTGCTATTGGCCCGTGATCACATACATCTATGAGTTACGCAATTTTAACCTAGATATCTGATATAGATTCTAAGCTTACTTACGTAACTATTCTAATAAGTGCCATACAAAAATACATACTAACAAAATTTAAAAAAATTATTAAAATTAACCCACTAAAAAAAAATCAAATTAATTCAGGCCAATATAATTATTAAACTAGGATATATGAATCGAAGCATTAATAAAAATTAGAAGATAAGAGAACAAATACTATTCTATAATTGATATACGATGTCTATTCTATTTAAGAGGTTCCCACTGAAAGTATGCACCAAGGATGAAACTCATCTTTTAGTAAAGACAAACATTCTTCTCAGGTAAGATCACGCTGGAACCATAATCCTATCAATAAAACTGTGTATAACAAATAATTTGGAAAATAAAAACAACCCGCACCCAAGATTACATACAGCAACGTAGCCACATTCCCGATATACTTGCCAGTTAAAATAGCGATTCTTAATCAAAAACGAAAAAAAGGAAAGTATATGTACGTAAATGAAGCTTGGCTTCTTTTACGAAAATTATATTTTCGCATTTTTACAGTACAAATTTACTTTTTTTGCGTGCAGCATAACTAATAAGGGTATCGAAACCCAATGAATGAATAATGAATAATGAATCATGCTTTCCTCTTATATATTAAAATTTAAACCAATCATTTTACACTTTCAACAATAGCCAATCGTATCGTTCTATGAAATGTTATATAAATATCAATTATAACATCAATATGAATTCAGGAATTCATAACTGTTTAACGATCGTCTTTAATATAATATTGTTTTTTGATTTCTCTCTCAATTACAAATTACAATGGATTTTCAGAATAGACCAGGTTTGTTGAAAACTAGGATTGCATCTCGCATCAAATGAATTTTTTTTTTTTTTTTTTAACATCTAAGCTTTTTGTTAGGTTCGAAGGTGGGTAGCGGTGGTGTGGCCGGTTACTCAGAAACTAACGTAGATCGACGTGAACGACTTCGTAAACTTGCCTTGGAAACAATTGATCTTAACAAGGATCCTTATTTTATGAAAAATCATCTCGGATCTTATGAATGTAAACTTTGTTTGACCTTACACACTAATGAAGGTAGTTACCTCGCTCATACTCAAGGAAAAAAACATCAGACGAACCTTGCGAGACGTGCTGCTAGAGAAGCCAAAGAGAATAATAACATTCAACCGGCATTACAAGCACAAGCAAAAATTCAAGTTAAAAAAAATTTGGTTAAGATAGGAAGACCTGGTTATAAAGTAACTAAAGTTCGCGATCCAATCACCAGACAACTCGGATTATTGTTTCAAATTCAATATCCAGAAATTGGATTAGATGTCATACCTCGTCATCGTTTCATGTCAGCTTATGAACAAAGAATTGAACCACCTAATAAAGCACATCAATATTTGCTTTTTGCTGCAGAACCATATGAAACGATCGCGTTCAAAGTACAAAGTAAAGAAGTTGATAAGGGAGAAGGGAAATTTTTCACGCATTGGGATCCAGACTCCAAACAATTTTCTTTACAATTCTTCTTTAAGAACGATAGACCAGGAATGTATTCAGAAGGTGTTCCACCAGGCATGGAAAGAGCACCTATTGTTAATCCTTTAAATCCTTACAGTGCGCCATCAATGCGTGGACCAACATATGTACATAGTTAATAATTACTTTATCAAATTTTGAAAGTAAATTTGGTATTTGATACTATACTAGTAATTATCTTTTAGCATTTTATAGCGGGTTGTTTAAAACAATCTTTTTTTATTTGATTTCGAAAAAACAAATTGAAGAATAAACAAACAATTAGATATATTGATGTAATGTACACAAAGTTTGAATATTTAATATACATCCAGTGAAATGTTAATTATTATTTTTACGGCTTGCCTAACTATCGTATTTTTTTTAAAAAAATAAAACGGATTTACGTTAATTTTTATTTGTTTGAAAGAATTAAATCCTATCACTCATCAGTTATTGGAAAATTGAAAACGCAGAAGTATCGATAGTATTGTTAATTAAATTTAATAAAGTTTGTTTAAATGTTGTCTTAGTCTTTGTTCAAAAACTAACTGACACATGTTGGTTATGGGCTCCATTAGACCATTGGTTTAAACAATATAAATAGTTCAAGCACCTTGATTTAGTCAAATCAAAACTTATCCTTGTTTAATAAATTTATACAGTTAATTTTATTTCTTGATTTCAATTTATTTTATAGGTATGTGAACACGTGATCAAAATCAACAGGCACTATTTATTCTTATGATGAAAAAAAGATTCCACTGCTTGTATAAAATCATTTTTTCCATCTCCATCTTTATCCACATTTAACATTGATTTTAATCCCCCTAAGAAATGATCCTCTTTGAATACATTTTCACGTATTTCTATGTGCAAAAGATCCATCAATTTATCCACAAACTCACGAATATGAGGTTCCAAAAATTCTTGAATTTTTTCTGGAAGTTTATTGAAAATCTTGTCAAAAGTTTTCGAGATGAATTCTTCCTCCTTTCCTGCAATTTTATCTAGTATGTGTGCAAATCCTCCTTGATGAAAATGAATTCCGCGATCTCTAACTGCTGAGTCATCTCGATTTTTAGTAGTAATTCCAATTTTCTTAGTTAACTTGCGTTTAACGTGTTCTGGTAAATGGGTACTGACATGTTCTTTAATGTCATCGCCAGAACGTTGAACATGAGGTTTCACAAATTCTAGAAATTTGGCTATAATTCCTTCTTTTCCTCCTTTTAAGAAAGAAAAATCAATTTCTTTCCACCATGATTCATCATCATTCTTTTCCTTCTTACGTGTTACTACAGCCACTGCATTTTTAGATTCTCTTACTACTACTGTCGTTAAATCATCTGACGTATTAACTGTAATTTTATCAAGGTGTTCTCTTGTAACCTCTCGAATTTCATCCTTAAAATCTCCCGACATTTGATCTGACATTTGTGTAATAACCTGACTCATAACTTCAAAAATGCCATCCCCATCATCTGAATGCTTCTTTATGTATTCTACTACATGATGGGGAAGATGTTCGGAAATGATTCCTTTGAGCCATTCCACACAATTATCGATATGTTCATGAAGTTTTGGTCGATGTTTGTCGACATATTTATCAAGGGCGGCTTCAATTTTTTCACGCATTTTCAATATTAATAAATTTTTTTGCGAATCCTTAAAAAAAAAAAATAAGCTTTTTTTTTTTATAAAAAAAAGTTCTACGTACGTACGTATGCCCTTATATCTGCACGTATGAAAAAAAAAATTGCATAAAATTTATATAAATTTGTACCGTGTGAATTGAATCTGCATGTTAGTGTATGACAACGGTTATTTGGCATCTATTAATTTCTTCCTACTATAGCAAAATCGCCAAAGAGCACTAGCCAAAATGCCCAAAGAGGATCTTCCATCATCAATGTTAATTCAGTAATTACTCCTTACCGATGCTGATCAAAACGCCTTCGCAAGATTAATGCCCTCAAACCCAAACACGGAAATCCTTTTTGAACTACCTCACAGTATACGATTACATCATTTAATTTTAAAGTCCGGTCCGGCCCAAATCGGTCTAAAAGTCTTACTCAAATCTCACAACATTTGAAGAAAAAAAAACGTATCCCTTACATCGTGGTGCGATATTGCGTTATGATTGAGTATTTGAACCCACGCCATTTGCAAGTCCGATACGAATTAGGTATATATATTTTACTTTTTATTTGTATATCCAAATTGATTTACAGCCCTTCAAATTGTTATGTATAAGACTAACTTTACGTCTAACCAATGTGTTATCTCTAATTGGAACTCATACAATTGATATATATATATATTCACTGAAGATTTAAGGTGTCTTCTATCATTCAGGTTTAGTAAACGTGTATTCTAAAAGTAATGGAGGCTATCCATATTTTTGAAAGTGCTTGAGACCCGACCTATAGAAGGTCTACTAACACTTAAGTGTTTAGCAATTTTTTGAATTGATAAGCATCCTAAATTTTTTTCCAATTACTGTATTTGCCAGCGAAGTTGCTTTGAAAGTATCATTTCTATATTCCATTCAGAAGTCAGGTAGTTTTTAAATTGATTACGAACAAATTTGTAAAAAAATCTCGTGACTGGCTTTAGACGATTCCTATATTCAGCCAGATATAAGTAAATTGCGTACGCACGTACGTACGTACTAGTCTTGTAATATTTACATTAATCACTGGATCTTATATATATACAGTATATATCAATTTGAATCTATTATGCCGAAATTATAAACTTAATCGAATTGGCCGAAAAATCATTCGGCTGATTTTTATTAGGTGTCTCAGAATTTATGAAAACAGCTATTTTGCGTCCGTGTGGGTCGGAAAAGTCCAAATTTTAAGATAATTGTCAGCCTATACTTACTGTACTTAACTTCTATACTGAACTCTTGTTATAGCAGAAAAAACAAACTAACGAATTTAAATTAACACCTGCTACGGCATTAATGAACTTTTATATGCATGAAAAAAAAAACCGAATAATTTTGAAAAGGCATGGCAACAAGTTCTGCTTAACTAACATTATTTTCAAAAGTATCTTTCTTGACACTTCCATAGTAAAAATATCAAAAACATAACTTTGAATTTTCTGTATGTCTCCACTTGCGTATTTGTGTAACACAACAAATCCTATGTGATTTTGCTCCGGACTTATAACGGTTTTCTTTTTTTTTTTTAGTGATCCTGCCTTTATTCATGTAAACTACATAAAGATATATATATACTTATATATCATCCTATATATTGCTCTAATCTAATAAAGACTCACCACCAATGCAATCTGCTATAACAACTATTAGTCTCTTCCAGGATTCAAAACTTGCTTTAAATTTTGTATTGTATATACAATACCCCAAAGATCATTGATAGGTTGTTGTACACCATGTTAAAATTATAGATGCTAATGAAATATAGTGAAATGTAGTAAAGTAATTTCATCACTATTGGTGAAATTGGTAAAATTAATTTTATCAGCATTTATAGTCAAGATCTTTTTTTTTTTCTAATTCTTTCTTCTTCTCAAAAGGCATAAAACTAGTGTTCCTATGAACCGAACTGAAACCGAACTTTGGTCAAGTTCAGGTTCAGGTTCAGTTCAATCATGTTCA